GAGTCCGAGAGTGTAGGGAAAACGACCATTATGACGTAGTGATAAGATCTTACATTTGGTAACGTTCAATTCCATATCATCTGTGGGCTTCTTCAAGGGCGTTCTGGAGATCAAATTAATCTTCTGGTTTTGTTATTGTCCTCCATATTTTGGCATCGTCTGAAAACAACAGAGTCTGTGGTCCGATGACGTCTGGAAGATCATTTATAAAGGCAAGGAAAAGATGTGGGCCTAGGACAGATCCCTGCGGAACCCCACGGTTGACATCTATTGGATCAGAAAGTGAATCGGAAACACGAACTGACATGGTACGTAGGTGAAGAAACTCCACGATCCAACCAAGTATGAGTCCACGGATTCCATAGTTATACAGCTTCCGTATCGGTATTTGATGACTTACTCTATCAAATGCTTTAGAGAAGTCCAGGTAAATAACATCTATCCCTTTGCCTTGGTATACAGCATGAGTCCAATCACCCCGAGCCAAAAGCAGATTGGTTGCACATGAACGATTTTTTCTAAACCCGTCCTGGCCTGGGGATAGTAAGTCATTTTTCTCCAAATGATCCATTACAGAATCTGCAACAATAGATTCCATGACTTTGGACAACACTGGAAGAAGAGTGACGGGTCGATATTTGGTTGGGTCACTACGGCATCCACCTTTGTAAATTGGTGAAATGACACCGTTTTTCCACACCTGAGGAAGCACGGTATCTTCAAACAGTTTCGGGTATAGCCCCCTTAAAGGATCTGCTATGTGAATTGCCAGGGTGATAAGGGCTTGTGGATAAATGTTGTCTAAACCCGGCGATGAGTTCTTCTTTAAAGCCAGGAGCTTTACCTTTATCCTTTCGGGAGAAAAGATAATGTTTGTCGTTAATGGGTAAGGAATATATTACAGCAAACGGGGAAGTACGAACTCAGCGTTACTAGGCGCATTGACCGCTTGAGAGTACTATAGTCTAAGCATTTCTGCAGCCTCCTTGGTTGTAGCTGAAACACGTCCCGCTGAGTTTTGTATCGGAACGCCGTGTTTGACTTTCCGGGAATCGTTTATATGCTTATATAATAGCTTAGGGTTTGCGATAAACTTCCTCGCCAGCATATCATAATAATTGTGCTTGTATTCCCGCACTAAATTTGTACAGTGGTTTCGAAGGAGCCTGTAAGCTTCTCAAGTGCTGGGCATGGACAGCGTTTGAACTCCCTCCAGTGAAAGTCCTTTTGCATTATCCATTTCCTAGTTCGACTGCGAACTGCTGATTTTCGAACAGTCGGTCGGCGTAGACGCTTGACGGTTGTAACAGTAGCCACCAATGTTGTGATGCTGTTAATAAATTTTCGCCAGGATTCCAGGGGATTGTAGCCTATATCAGGGGAGATTCACTGGGTTCCATCAGTCAGGGTGTTTAGTCCTGCATAATCGGTTATGCTGCGAAAGCGATCCGAAGAAGCTGTTATTACTGATGCATAGCAAACGTATTCGAACAACGAAGCGTGATCACTGCGCCCCAACGGAGTAGCGATTGCAATTGATTTGACCATCAATGCTTCATTCGTCAGTACTAGATCCACAGTTGACGAAATTTGGTTGGTTCCAAACCTGGTGGGTTCCTTCACATGATTGTACAACGTATATGACTGGATAAACTGCGTGAATTATCGTTCAAATGGCATACATGAGGTCGCCATGTTGCTCAGCTTGGGACAGTTGAAGTTACCCATAATAAGAACGTGGGTGAAATTCAATGACGAGAAATAAGACATTGTTTGCAACAAAGTCTCATTTGATGAATCTGCTGACGAAGGAGGGCGATAAACTAGCCCGATCAACCCGATATCATGTTGCGTTAGCTTCAGTTTGCACCATAACGTAGCGGAAGCAGCGAACAGGCACTCCATTTGCTCGCATTGCAAGCTGTTATGATAATAGAGCAACACGCCCCCACCTCGCGTTGGACGATCACGCCTCAATAGCTCCATGTCTGGTAATCGCAGCTCGGAGTCTAAGATGTCGGTCGTCAACCAGGTTTCGGTTACTGCAATGAGATCCCATCGACCAGTCCGACAACGTAGTTCCATTTCCGGAAACTTACTGAAAAAACCCTGAGAATTGGTATAGAAACAGTTCAGTCGTTGTCGGTGCAGAAATCCCTTGGAGTTTAGGGACACAATTTGAACGACCTCGTCGTCGGCCGGCAGACGTTTTCTGCCGTAGGTGTTTGTTGAGTTTGGTCTGATGGGGTCGGAGTGAAGCAAGAAATTGGCAGTGTTTCACGCGAAATGTGATTGACAGTTTCGACTGGTGGACAATTTTTCGGTCCTGAATTCAGCATCGGTCTTACGCGTAGTTCTTTGGGCCCTCTGGTTCTGTGTTCATACCATGACTGGAGAACTGTGTTCACCATTTCTGGTGTTCCAAGAGTTACTTTCAGCATTTGCGGGCCATCTCCGCGATAGTTGGGAGAACGCGGAAGGCGTTTAATGGCTGTGATAGAGATGGTGCGGCAGTCTGACTATTCTTGAATGAAGCGCCATTCGTAAAAATCACTTTTTCAACTGTTGGATTCATCAGCTTCGGGGATCTGTGGCACTCCGTGTATGAGAATCGCCCGCGAGTTATCTGCATCGCGTGCACTGTTAGTATCGTTCCGTCGGTTTACACACTCGGTCCAAGGTATGTCCGGCAAAATTCTGGTATTTCTGGGCCCATCTGCAATGAGAAAACTAGAAAGAAGAACATTTTCAACGTCTTCTTCACTAGCCATCGTCACACGAAGTAACCTGAGTTCTCCGATATGCGTTGATGTCGGTTGGCGCCAGAGGCGTGTGCGGCTCACCGGTTTGGCTTCTACGCCCATTCAGGCACATACCTCTGTCCAGCGACTCAGCTCGTCTTATTGCCCCTCTCTCAATGATTGAATTGTGTGTTCTGTGAGGTTTGTACAAATTACCGTGAGTGTAGTGTTACCACCTACTCTCTTGTTCATTTGTGACGGTATAGCAGCTTGCGACTGACGTTTAGCTGGCGATACTTTGACTACAGGTAACGAAACTTCGATCGTTGGTTTCCTCGTGGCTATTGAAGTGGAAGTATTGCACGCTACCTCTTGATCTGTTTTGTTAAAGGCACTTCTCGGACATTTTGAT